GTCTCTCAGTTTGTTGTATTGTGATGACTTGCGTATTGCTGTGATGCTGGAAGCTATGCCACTGGTATTTCAAATGCCAGCAGTATTACCCATGGTGGACAGATTTCAGCTGAGCTCCCAGACTAAGACATACTGGGAAGAAGGACCTGGCGATTTACTTCTGAAAAAATTCTCCAGTGAAAGCCTTACTAACAGCAGCAGAACATTGTCTGATATCGTGCTGAAAGACAGGCCCCTCAGGTTGGAAGGCACTCAAAATACAACTGGGAAAAAGCTGCCTCCTCAAAGTAGAGTTAACCTTAATGACATGGATGGAATAAAGCTTTGCTGATGTTGCAGGACTCAAAACGAGAAGAAACAGTTGCAAACATCCATTAATTATCAGAATGTGTAGTGTATGAAGTATGAATCTATGAAAATTGCAAGTTGTCAAAAATGAAATGGAACATTTGAAGATCGATCTCCTAGGCATTAGTAAGCTGAAAAGGACTGATATTGGCCATTCTGAATCAGACAATCATATGGTCTATTATGCTGGGAATGACAAATTGAAAAGGAATGGTGCTGCATTCAATGTCAAAAAGAATGTTTCAGGATCTATCTTGAAGTACAATGTGTCAGTGACAGGATAATATCTATATGCCTACAAGGAAGACGAGTTAATACAAATATTATTCAAATTTATGCACCAACCGCTAATGCCAAAGATGAAGAAATTTAAGATTTTTACCAACTTGTGCAGTCTGAAATTGATCAAACATGCAATCAAGATGCATTGATAATTTACCGGTGATTTGGCATTACTGGAATGAGAAAGTTGGAAACAAAGAAGAAGGATCACTGGTTGGGAAATATGGCTTCAGTGATAGAAATGACGATGGAGATCACATGATATAATTTTGCAAGACTAAAGACCTATTCATTGGAAATATCTTTTTTGAATAATATAAATGGCAACTATACATGTGGACCTTGCCAGATGGAGGAATCAAATCAAATCATATCTGTGGAAAGAGATGATGGAGAAGCTCGATATCATCAGTCAGAACAAGGCCAGGGGCTAACTGCGGAACAGACCATCAACTGCTCATATGCAAGTTCAAGTTGAAGCTGAAGAAAATTAAAACAAGTCCATGGGAGCCAAAGTACAACCCTGAGTATATCCTACCTGAATTTAGAGACCATCTCAAGAACAAATTTGACACACTGAACACCAATGACTGAAGACCAGATGAGTTATGGCATGACTTCAAGGACATGAGACATAAAGAAAACAAAATGTCATTAAAAAGTCAGGAAAGAAAGACCAAAATAGATGTCAGAAGAGACTCTGAAAGTTGCTCTTGAACATAGAGTAGCTAAACCGAATGGAAGAAATGAAAAGAGCTGAACGGAAGATTTCAAAGAGCGACTCAAGAAGACAAAGTGAAGTATTATATAATGCAATGTGCAAAGACTTGGAATTAGAAAACCAAAAGGGAAGAACACATTCAGCATTTCTCAAGCTGAAAGAACTGAAGAAAAAATTCAAACCTCGAGATGTGATATTGAATACTATGGGCAAAATATTGAACGACACAGGAAACATCAAAAGAAAATGGAAGGAATACACAGAATCACTGCACCAAAAAAAATTGGTCAATGTTCAACCATTTTAGGAGGCAGCATATGATCAAGAGCCGATGGTACTGAAGGAAGAAGTCCAAGCTGCACTGAAGGCATTGGCAAAAAACAAGGCTCCAGGAATTGATGGAATAACAATTGAGATGTTTCAGCAAATGAATGCAACGC